CAGAATGCTGTTCTTGCTCTGTGGGTTAAATCACAGCAAACATTTCTGGCACAACTTCTCCTACTTCCAAGGTGCATGGAGAGGATTTCTTTTTTGTTTTTATTCTAATTTTATCAGTTAAATTATTCTCGCATGAGTAATGTTTATTTAATTAATTTTATTTATTTTTTCAGCCAACGAAGGAGTAGCATTCTAGACATCTCATCTTAAGTCTACATTTTAGAGATTTTACATTTTAGAGACATAAATTAGGACCTTTTAACTAATGTGTTCCCATGTGATGATGTCCTCTTGTTTTTAATTCCTCTGCTGGACCAACCTCCTTTTATTATCAAACTCTGCCCTTTGTCCATTTTGTTTTGTATATTCACAGTGTTCTTCTTGTGTATTTCACGCATGTGTTATTTTGAGATAGGTGGGGGTTATGTCTCCCCCCCCCCCCCCTCCTCATCATTAATGATCTAGTCCAGTATTTACTTGGGTGACTTAACCAATTAACCAGTACCTACCTGTTATATGTCAGCTGGTCTATGAAGTTTTGATTGGTTATTCTGAATCTTTTTCTGTTTCCTGTCTTGTATTTAAGCATTTTTTTTACAATGTTGTGCTATGACCCTGATGAAGGCCACGAGCCGAAACGCGTTGGTCAATTGTTAAAGTTGTTCATCTTAAGTGTTGCTGGAGTCCCTGCTTTGCTTGCTCTGTGGGTTTTGGTCCTGTTGGTGTAAAGGTCTGACAGCTTGTTGAAGATGCTATACTTTGGTGTCAAGCTGTGTTTTATGTGCAGCGTATTTTAAAAGACTCTCATTAAGGACTGTACTGCTCACAGAGGAATGAGTACACTTGTTAGTAGATAAAAGTTTCTTTCATCTCGTCACCACAACAGGCGCTTCATGTGTGACTTGGCAGATGAACTTCCTGTTGTAGCCCCAGAGGGATTTGTGTCCCGGGATCAAACCTGGGAGCTTCTGCTTATTAGGATAATGAGTAAAGCACTATGGAGCTGCCTCATGTTTTAGTAGGTACCTTCATATAATTGGCACATTAGATTAGTTAAATGGAGAGGACTGACAGGCTGTTGATGTTCAAGCTGCACAGATCCCGACAGTGCAGACAAACCTCCACGTCTGTGGTCTGCAGGCTCAGGCTGATAATAACAGCATGTTCTGCTGTTTTATTAAAGATTAAATGTGATATGAAGCAGCTCCCAGTCTCTGTGCAGCTGCTCTTATTGCTTCAGGTCCTTCAGGTCTCGCTGCAGAAACACGTGTTTGCATAACGACTGAGAAAAACAGCTGTTCTCCGGACTCTGGACAATACTCGACTAAACGCACAGTTATTGTCTGTAAATAAAGCTTTTCACAAATATTTAAATGAGTTGGTTTGAGTCATGTTTGCTTTTTCTTACTGTGGAGTTTGACTCGGGTGCATGTTTGTCTTAATTTGGTGGAGCTACATGTTTTATGAACGGTGGTTTTGGTTGATCTTGAGGAGACTGACGGATGACCGGCGTGTGTCTTTGCAGACATGGCGTTGCTCCATCAGAGTCGAGGCTCACCCAGACTCGTCCTGGTGGTGGTTTGTGTCGCTCTGCTGCTCGACAATATGCTGCTCACTGTGGTCGGTGAGTAACCGGCGCACACTCCACGAAACGACGCATCACAAAGACCAAATACCAGATTGTGAAAAATCTCTTTATACCACACCACGGGGACTCTTATAGCTCGAACTCCAGCCCTGTGTTTAGCCTGTCTTTGTTTACATTTCGCTGAACTATCTTCATAAAAACTGTCTTCAGATGTCATTGTTCCTGCAGTTTAGTCACAGATTTGTGTGCATCGATCGCTGGTGTGGTAGGACTTGACTTAAGCGGCCAAAGAAGTGCAGGAGACTGTCCAGCATAGCGAGTGATTTATTCACCATTTTGTGACCCAAACAATATTTACAAAGAAATAAAAAAGAAACTCAACTCTTTAATTAACTCAGTTCAAATAAACATAACTGAATCTGAATCAACAGAAATTAAGGTCAGACTGCACAAAGCTACACTGACCTGAACCTCTCTCCTCAAACACCCGAGTTCTTCTGCTTAAATCGTCCACTTAACCAAACACTTTCTCCTCTGGACTATTTCACTCAGTAGGTAAGATGAACATGATCATATTCAAACGTCTGCTACTCCTCTTTACTCGCAACATAAACTCTGTGGTGGAATCAATACATATTCAATAAATCTATTCCTCCATAAACCCTCTAAAATCAACTTGATTAAATTATAAGAGTTCTTCCCCTTCTGCACTTGGTCTCCTCCTGTGACCTCAGATGAACCCAGAAGCTATAAAGCAGGAAGTAAAACTACATTTCCTCCTTTTGTTTCTGGAAGACAGGTAGGTAAGGTAAGTCTAAACAATACAAATTAACAGTTGAAATAAAGAACATGTTAACTTAACAAACTTGTAGGGATTGATTTAAACCAAGATGTTATATAATCTGTAAAAGTGCAAAACATAAACCCGGGATAGTAGATGTTTGCCTGTTGCAGACGACATGTGAAATATGGTTCAATCAAAACAAGAATGTTAACTACGAATATGGACAAATGGTCCTCTCAGCCACTCTGTCACAGCTGGACTCATTCAACACTGAAGAGAAAGTAAAAACAGATCGGTTTATGCAGGTGGACAGGTGTGACTGATTACCGTCACACTGAGGATTTTCAGGGAAGGTGTGCAGCTAAGAGAATAAGAGAGGACAGTAACACTTCTAAAATCCCTGAAAGAAGAACTCAAAGGATGGAGCTGCAGCCTGAATAATAATCTGTCCACATACTTTTGGCCGTGCAGCGTCTGAGTCGATCTGTGACGCAGCCGGAAACCTCGAGGTCGACGCCGTCGTTAGCTGTTAGACTCTGCAGAGGACACACACACACACACACACACACACACACACACACACACACACACACACACACACACACACACACACACACACACACACACACACACACACACACACACCACCTCCTGACCTGGACCTTTACAGTGGGCTTGTATCTGCTCTCCTTTTTTCTCCGCTCAGATTGAATCTTCTTCTTCTTCGGTGTTCTTTCATCCTCATGTTTTGTCTGCACAGCTTTAAATAATTAAACATCCAGTAGGAGCTGTCTCAGATGGAGGACCACATGTTGTTGTTGTTACTGATTACGGTTACTGCCTGCTCTGAATGATCTGTCTCCGTCCTGTAGTACCGATCATCCCAACATTCCTCTACGCCATCGAGCATCCGAGTCCAGAGCCACAGACCGCCCAGCCCTCCCTGCTCCCTCTGCGCGGCCTCGATGCATCACGTCTGGGCACTGCACCCTCACGGCCCCCCTCCTCTGCCTTCAGCCTCCAGACCTCCAGACAGACCTCCCAGCGCCTCCACCTGCCTCGGCCCAGTACCGGTGCACCGGTCCAGGTTACAGGGCCGACCCTATCGGCTCTGGTGTCCCTGTTTGATAACTCGACCTTCAGCCTGACTGACGCGAGCGCCGGCACCGAACCGGCGGACCGGACCTCAGTGACCGCAGATGTGCAGGGCAACGAGACCGAAGTAGGTGGAGACCACCGATACCTGACCAGCTCATCACTTCATGATCAATAATCTATCAGCTCTGGTTCCTACTGTTCCCCTCTGTTTCCTTTCTCTTTCCTTATTTTGTTTTCTCGTTTCCTTTCTTTTGTCTCCTCCTCTCTGTGATTAATCACCTTGCTCTCTCTGCCCATTTCCTCACTTCTCTCTAAACCTTATTTCACTTCCTTGTTTTGGCTTGTTTCACACATTTCCTTTCCTTAGGGCTCTTCCTGTCTTCAGGACAGTTTGTTTCTGGAAGAAGAAAATGTTCGAGTTGGTTTGTTGTTTGCTTCTAAAGCTATCATCCAGCTGCTCGTCAACCCCTTCGTTGGTCCACTGACTAACAGGTAATATTATAATTAGCAGTAATAGTAGTATTGAAAGAGAACATGCAGACAGGCTGAACCCTCTTGTTCTGAAACTGAAGAATGTTTTTCTGTCTGCAGGATCGGGTATCACATCCCCATGTTTGCTGGTTTCATCATCATGTTTGTGTCAACCATCAGTAAGATGTTACACACACACACACACACACACACACACACACACACACACACACACACACACACACACACACACAAACACACACAAACACAGGTGTGTTTTCTCTGAAGTGTGTAATCCTGTGTGTCTCTGTCAGTGTTTGCCTTCTCAGGGACGTACGCTCTGCTGTTCGTCGCTCGCTCTCTGCAGGGGATCGGCTCGTCCTTCTCCTCAGTGGCAGGTCGGCACAGAACACCTGAAGCAGCAGACAGTGTTTAACAGCACCTGTACATACACCTGTAGTCTCACCTGTACTCTCACTCATATGTTAAGTGAAGCAACCTCTTGAGGTCATGTGACTAAACTGTTAAATGTGGCCTTGGCGCCGGAGAGTTCTCCCTGATCTAAAGGTGTGAACAGATGCGTTCGTGTTCAGGTGCTGGATGATGACATCATGTCTTCGTGTCATGCAGGTCTGGGCATGCTGGCCAGCGTGTACACGGATGATGAGGAGAGAGGCATCGCGATGGGTGTGGCACTGGGAGGACTGGCTATGGGAGTCCTGAGTGAGTCACAAACTCAAAAAAAGTGTCGCTACAAACCACGCGAGAACGTTCAGTCTGCCGATTGGCCGCGGCGACAGAAGTGGTGTATGAACGAGTCGCCCACCTGGAGAGTTTAGTTTCACAGCTCGCTGTTTGTCCACTCTCCCAGAATATGAAGCACACCTGGCTACAGGAAGCAGCTTAGCTCAGACTTGCAGCATACACCTGGTACCTGTGTCTGATCCAGGTTGCATCACGTTCACGCCATAAACTAACTGCTTTCCCAAAGGGTCTGGGCACAGCTGATTGGTCCACAGCCGAGTGTCACTGCTGCACAAATGAACTGGATGTTCACTGAATGTTGATTTGTCAGGTTTACATGATGCTGTTGTTTTAGCTCTTCATATAGTTTGTGTGTTGTGTTTCAGTCGGAGCGCCTTTCGGCAGCGTGATGTATGACTTTGTGGGGAAGAGCGCCCCCTTCCTGATCCTGGCCTTCCTGGCTGTGTTCGATGGAGGTAAACCTGGAGACGAGGCTGGTCCTAATGCAGGATGATGATGATGGGTGGAGCCCCTGTGGCGTCAGCATGTTTAGCTTTTTTTTGTTGTTTTAATGCCATCATCATCCTGATTTACCGGAGCCGCCCTCGTGTGGCCGTTAGAGGAACTGCAGCTTTTTCAGCACATTAAATCAAACACATTAAACACAGCGTGGTGTCCTTTTCATAAAATATGATCCCCTTCGACGAGACCAAATTGAAGTAAACAGGATGATGAGCTGCAGTTCAAAGTTCACAAATGTCCGGCTGACGTCACGGTGACCACGGCTTTGTTTAGACCAACCAAGGTCGCCAGCATCACTCCAGATTTTGTGTGTGTGTGTTGCAGCGTTGCAGTTGTGCATCCTGCAGCCTTCAAAGATCTCTCCTGGGGTGAGTACACTTTGAAATCCTCTCATCTGTTTATCGTGTCGAATGTCCCATTGTTCAATCGGGAAGGTCAAATGTAAATATGAGACGCATTTCGTTGGAAGCATTAAAATAATCAAACTTTAACATCTTATTATTGATTGAAATAATTCAGAGCTTCATTATCAGATGATGAGTCAGTGTAACGATGTGTTCCTCCTAACAGCGTCATCAGGAAGAAGGAATCACAGACACAGAGTAAGCTGGGAACCATTAAAAAACTGTCAAAGTTTGAGCCAAAAGTGGAGAAAATTGGGGAAAACGTCTGGAACCAGTGGGAAGAAGTAAAAGGAGGAAACTGAACTCTTCTAGATCAACATGTTTCATGCACTTTAATCTAGATGTTCTGAAATTATAAGGACAGTAAAAAAAATTTTGATCCCAAAACATTGATTCTGTTCATCTAGATGTAGCGTTACATCCAGATGAACAGAATCAATGTTTTGGGATTTCCTTATCTGGATGACTGAACATCAGACATAAACATGTTTGACTTTTTCCTGGTTTCAGTGTCGCGTTTTTATTTCAAAACTGAAACAAATAAAAGGCAAAAACTGGGGGAAAAACCCCCCAAACAAACCCAGAAACAAATGAAACAAAAACTTTGTGATGAAATCTGACAAACATTAAGAAATTTTCCACTGATTAAAATTTTCAGTGACTTAAATTTTTCAAAATAAAACATGTCGGCCGGTTTCTGAGCTAATCTGAAGCTATTATACGGATCAAAAACATCTGTTTAAAGAGCCGATGGTTCTTCTGTGCCTGTTTGAATCGCAGCTGTTCTGGGTTCTCGTTGGTTCTGCATGTTGTCCAGCTTCAGCGCATGGTTTTATGGTTTCAGAGTGTGGAGGGAACGCCGTTACTCACCCTGCTGAAGGATCCGTACATCCTCGTCAGTGCAGGTGAGGCGACTTCACCAGGTTTGTTTAGTAAAAACTGAACGTCTGCAGGTACGAGCAAATGTTCACATTAACATTTGTTTCTGCTCCACGTCTGTGCATGAAGGAGCAGCAGCAGGTGTGAAAAGTCCTGATCGTGTTGTGACTCGTGTAAATCTCTGTGCGTCTGCAGGGTCTCTGTGCTTCGCCAACATGGGCGTGGCCATCCTGGAGCCCACTCTGCCCATCTGGATGATGCAGACGATGTGCTCCCCGAAATGGCAGCTGGGTACGTTTTTCTGCTCGGGTCTGTTTGTGCCGACGCTGTAACGCTTTTCCCCGAGCTGCTGCCGTCACAGTTGATTCTGATGGTGGGTCACGGCTGGGGTCACTGTGAGGGTCGGCCGGGCGCAGATGCTTTTCACTGGACGTCCAGCCCGGCTGTTTCTGCTCTGACTTCACCACAGAAGCTCAAAAATGAGGTTTTCTGAAGGTGACCCAGGAGTTTCCAACATGAAGGCCACACTGAGCGTGCTCCTCAGTGTGTTCTGCGGTCATTGAGGTCGTTCTCCGTGAAGTCGCCCCCGGGGTGAGACGTTCAGCGCAGACTTTGACGTCATTCGTGAGAAACAGCCTGAGCTGGCCCGAAGAGCCAGCACCATCTTCCCTCAGCACCAGTCTGTCTCAGCTCGGTCTCTCCGTGACTTCCCTCACATCCACTCAGCAGATATCCAGTTGAGGACTCGCTGGTTGGAGACATTAAAGGAGCTACCAGGACTTTGAGGAGCAGTTGCAGAACTGAGGTCTTTGTGACTGCACCTCATACGTTGACCCTAACAGGTGTGTGCTGTGTTGCAGGTATTGCCTTCCTCCCTGCCAGCGTGTCCTACCTGATAGGAACAAACCTGTTTGGTGTTCTGGCCAATAAGATGGGACGGTGAGTACTTCTGCATCTGACCACAAGAGAGGGTTTCTCAGGGTCAGGGGTCAGCCTCGGTCTGCAGAGACGTGAAACCTCTGCACAGGGTGAAGTATCAGACCTGGTGCTTAGACACCTTCAGACTCTGAGTGAGAGGTGACCTGGCAGAGCGTGTGTCAGCACCAATAAAACACTTTCATCATAAGAAACGTTATCCCGGCTCTGTTCAGAGGAGCGTTTCAAAGTGTTTCACAGGGATTAATGAGGCAAAGGAAAACCATATCGGAGCTGATCAGCACCTCAGAGATTAAGCTTACTTCTCCGGTTTTTAAGCTTTACATTGATCCGATCCTGCTGACAGATCCCTCGGTCCACACCACGTTTCCTGGGAATCTGTCCAGCGGCTAAATCAGCAGATTAGCAGATTAACTCTTCAGATCCAGTTCAGACCTGACGCTGAAGCTTTCTGGTAAACCAGCAGCTGTAAGAGGCTGATGTCTGTTTGTGTGTCTCCAGGTGGCTGTGCTCCATGCTAGGGATGTTTATCGTTGGCATCAGTCTGCTGTGTGTGAGTACGACATCATCTCTTTGTTTATCCATCTTCCTATGATTCATCATCATCTGTCAGTCATCGATCCTTTCATCCACCCAAACACCAAACAGTAACCCATCCGTCCAGCATTGGTTAATGTGGATCTGTGCAGCAGTGGGAGCAGGCGCTCCTCCTGACGCTCCGTCTGAACCCGGGGAGCCTCCCAGGAACCTGGTTTCCCAAAATAAGCTGGCATGCAGAGAAGAGCAGATTATATATTAGAGCCTCAAAGCTTCGAATGTTCCCATCGGGTGCTCTGTAAACTCTTCGTCTTCCACCGTGCACGCAGCATGAGCTTTCATAGATGACGAGTCCGTTTCTACCATCCACACCTGAGCGCACTTTTACTTTATTAGCCAGGTTACCTGTGCTGACGAGGATGCTGCCCAAACTAGCCCACCCTGCAGTGTTAGCTCCATCACCTCACTTTAAGAAGGTCCTGAGGTCAAATCCACCAGCTTCCTCCCACAGCCCAACGACCTCCCTGTTAGGATAATTAGTGGTTCTAAATGGATCACAGGTGTGAATGATCACCTCTGCTCTGACCTGTACACCTGGAACAGGCCTGAGAACCACCTGTGAACCTGATCTAAGCAGGATATAAACTGATGTTCATGTTCTGGGAAAGCCAACAGAACCCTCACTTCCTGTCATCCAACTAATCAGCATGATGAAAAGAGCCTTCATGTCAGGAAGCACACCTCGCGTTAAGCGTGATGTAACTGCGATGTTCGATGTGTGTTTCAGGTTCCCTTTGCCACCAGTATCTACGGCCTGATTGGACCAAACGGCGGTCTGGGATTCGCGATAGGTGACGTGTGAAATGTGTAACGGCATGTTGGGTCTGCACATCTGCAGTGTTTTTACTGAAACCATGAAATCAGTGACACCCTCTCACCTGTCCTGTGGTGCTTCAGGTATGGTGGACTCCTCCATGATGGCCATTATGGGCTACCTGGTTGATATCCGCCACGCCTCCGTCTACGGCAGCGTCTACGCCATCGCTGACGTGGCGCTGTGCATGGGCTTCGCCATAGGTACCACACTCACATTCGCACAGCAGAAAGGAAAAAGCCAATGATGATATTAAAATCTCCTCCTGTTGTTCCAGGGCCATCCACAGGTGGCGCTCTGGTCCAGGCCGTGGGCTTTCCCTGTCTCATGGTGTTCATCGGGGTCATCAACATCCTGTACGCGCCGCTCTGCTTCCTGTTGCGTAACCCTGCTGTCCGAGAGGAGAAAATGGTAAATAAAGCTCAGGGGTGGAGAAGAGAGTGCAGGCAGGGTGGAGCGGGTGGAGACGAGTGCAGTGAGATTGATTGGTATTCACTCCTGCATCGTGTGCGTGTGCGTGTGTGTTGCAGGCGATCATTGATCAGGAGTGTGTGATGCACAGGAAAAGCTACAACACAGAGAGCCGTGACTTTCCTCTGAGCGACTACAGCGAGGAGGAGGAGACGGAGGAGTGATGCGCACAAGCTCGCCAAAACGTCCACATCGTTATACGCCACCTTCGTGTCACCTTTGCACTTCCTGATCATCTAGTTGGGGGGGCTGTCAGTGATGTTTAGTTTAACTCTGACTCATGCTAAGCTACTGTGAGCGATCAGAATCAGCCGATGGTGGTTGAAGCGATCTGGATGTGAATTTCAGAATCTGTGTTTGCTGTTCTTGTGTTTCCTCCCACCTGCAGTCAAAGTGTTGAAACTGTACCTGTGTCTGACCTCTGACCTGTGTCACCATTAAAACCTGCGCTAACCTGGAGAGCAGCTGCTCACCTGTGTGTGCTTACCTGTCCATCACAGTGTCAGGCTCACAGAACTGTGTGTGTGTGTGTGTGTGTGTGTGTGTGTGTGTGTGTGTGTGTGTGTGTGTGTGTGTGTGTGTGTGTTTTCATGCTTATCTTTCATTTCCTGACTTCTTGTTGCTCCTGAAAGGAACGCGGCGCTCCGTCAGCTGGAAAGGCAAACAGGAAGTGTCTGTGCAGCTCTCAGCACTTCACACGCAGCAGCGTTATCAGTGTCAGCTCAGATGTTTTGTAGTTCAGGCAGGAGGACATGCTGTCACTGTAAGCTGCTGACTCGGGTTCAGGACGTGTGTGGACCTCGAAGCCAAAGGTGAGGTCGGCCTGCTCGCTCCACCTTTTACCTGAAATCATCTCCACAGCTTCACTCTGACACGCTAAGCCTCAACGTTTCCTCACATTTCAACTCAAATCAGTGAAAGGAAGAATAATGTGGGGAGAGACGCCTCACTGCGTTACACTGCGCCCTCACAGGCTCGTGTGTGTGTAATTACATGCTGCGACAGCAGATCACAGCTGCTTCAAAACATTTCCTCCTGCTTTGAAATCTGAATAAACTCATGCAGAGCTGATCCCTGTGTGTGTGCGCTCATCAAAGGCGTGTTTGACTCTGTTTCTGATGTGGTCGTGCGTGTGTAAACAGGCAGGAAGTGCTTCACCTCGGTGTCTCTGACCCTGATTGATGGTAAATAACAGAAGAAAACATTTCAAATGTGCTGCTAATGTCCCCACAAACACGCCACGGCGTGCGCGGGTCTCTGATCGTCCCTCGTGCGCTGACATGCTTCCTCCTGAGAGTGAAGCGTGAGCTCACTGCAGTTATCTGAAACCTTTAATGACACTTCAGCTCGTTTAATGCGATGTTTCTGATGTTTCATTGAAACTAATCTGACATCTCATTAAGCACTTTAGCTTTTCCGGGCCCGCGTACGCTTCCAGCTTTCCCACCTGTGATTGTCATCACAGCTCAATCAGCCAATAAACATTTATTCCCTGTGAATGAACGACGATAACTCCACACCGAGATCTGACTCCAGCAGGCCGTGGGCAGAGAGGTGTGTCCCAACCAGCAGCTCTGTTTTCCCCATGTCCACACTCACATGAGGCCTGAAGCTGGAAGCTGAGCAGATCTCATGTGACAGCTCAGGTCAGCTGATCCAGTTACCTTCCTTTTACAATCATCAGTTTCTACACATCTCACACCTCCAGTAAGATATGAACTCTGTATTTATTTTGTTGTGAAGTTTAGATGTTCTCCTCGTGTCTGGGTGGGCTCCAGCTTTCCAAACAGGTGTGTGTGTGTGTGTGTGCCTAGATTTAAATAGTGCTAATAAAAATAAATAAAAGCAAAGCAAATATTTCTTACATCTTGAATAACAGCGTGTACAGCAGGACATTCCTTTTTTTAATATTCATAACAAAATTATTTAGTTTGAATGAGCAGGGTCACAGCGAGGGAAACATAAAAATGTGATATAATAAGGTGCAAACAGACATTCAACAATAAAGTTTGAGTTTCTAACAAGCCTGAAAGTGAATATTTGGTGTGAGCAGCTCTCTGTCGGCTCTGTGAGGATCTTCAGTTCTCCAGACTTCCTGAAGGACAGTCGAAGCTCTTTGGATGTTTCTGCCTTTTGTTGTGTTGTTTGTCAGAATGATCTCACACTGCTGCAGTCATGCTGAGCTCTGACAGACAGAAACTCTGTGTAAGGCCCAGGTGGACGATAGATGATAACAAGTAAGACTGGTTTCTGAGTTTCACAGCTGGGGTGGACAATGTTAAGCATCAGGCTTTCAAATGAATTAAAAGTCTGTCTGGGTCTTTGGTTGATTAATAGGCTGGTCTGAAAAATTGCTGCCACACCTGCCCCTCAGCCTGTGCTTCGAGGTTTCTGGTAGTTAGAATGACTCGGGGGTGTTGATTCATTTAAACTAACATAATCATCCTGCTGCAACCAGGTTTCTGTAAGGCAGAGTAAATCAATTTGTTGATCAATTATTAAGTCATGTACTAACAGAGACTTGGAGGAGAGAGACCTAATATTTAATAATCCACATTTCACTGTTTTACTCTTTGGTTCAGATGTGGATTCTGTATTGTTCTTTCTTTGTGATTGTTTATGTTTAAGTTGTTTGTTGCTGGTTTTTAGTTTGTTTTTTGTCTTTTTGGAAGCTGACACAGTCTCTATGGAGATGGTTTTTGGGGGGGTAGCAGGAGGAGAGAAGCTGCAGAGAGGCGTGTAAGACTGCAACTCTGCTTCCTGGTCCCAACTCTGGATAGTCATATTTTGGGGGGTTTAATAAATTTGTCCATATTTCTAGAAATGAGAGCTGCTCCATCCAAAGTGGGATGGATGCCGTCTCTCATAACAAGACCAGGTTTCCTCCAGAAGGTTTGCCAATTATCTATGAAGCCCACATCGTTTCTGGGACACCACTCAGACAATTTAAGGAGAACATGCGGCTAAACATGTCACTCCTGGTCTGATTGGGGAGGGGACCAGAGAAAACTACAGAGTCCCACATTGTTTTGGCAAAGTTGCACACCGATTCAATATTGATTTTAGTGACCTCTGATTGGTGTAACCGGGTGTCATTACTGCCGACGTGAATTATGACTTTACTGAATTTACGTTTACCCTTAGCCAGTAGTTTTAAATTTCCCTCAATGTCGCCTGCTCTGGCCCCTGGAAGACAATTGACTATGGTTCCAGTTTAATCGGTTTGATGGTTTTTGTTTCCTTTTCAAATGATGTTCAGTCACTGTGATCTAAGAGGTTTGACTCCACCAATGACCATTGATCCTTAAACCAGTTCAATCAATCTGTTTGATCAGCTCTGCTGGAAATCTCACATCACTTATATTCAAACCAACCTGTCTAAAACCATCTCAGGTTTGTCTAAATCATAGCACGCGATGAATCAAAAATCATTTTTCATTGAAATGAATTGAATCTGACCTTGAATACAAGGAATCATAAAGAATTATGAATGTGTGTTTATTCACTGAGACCTTTACATTAGAAAGAGCTGCACCGCCCCACATGCTGCTGAGGATGTTTACTTTACTTTCACTTTTTAAAGACACACACAGGTCCATAGCAAATAAAATATATACATGCATAATACATGAGGAAGAAAAGAAAATTTAAAAAAATCCCACAGTGTGACACAATAACATAAAGGCTAGGAGGCCAGTGGCTCCATAACTTGAATAAAACCAAACTGAAGTTAGTGCAGAGAGGTTTCTGGAGTCCTTTACCCCACACATACAACTGTGCCTCGGTGTGACAGGGAGCCACTCCAACACTAACAAACATTTGCACTGCTCCACCTCGGCAACTTGAGCATCAACCTCATTCCATCATTATACACACTGCAGTGAGTTTCTGCATGCTGCTTTCTCTGCAGCTCTTCCACAGATGAGCAGTGTACACTGGATTTGAAGAGTCCACACCTCCAAAAAAAACCCCAGAATCCCTCGAAAATAGAAATTAAAGATCCAAACATGGAAAATAAAACTTTTTTCGACCTTTCACTGTCCCATGTTTGGTCCAAACGGTCAGTCTCAGAGCCCGTCTGATGCTTGTGGGGCTGCAGTCGGCACCAGTAGTGCCCTTAATTTGGGTCGAGGATCATCCAGTGTGTTGACCGACAGCCAATTGAGCAAAGGTGTTTCCTTTGTTTTCTCCTTTAGGAGATGAGACACTGGAGTGTCCTATGATGGAAAGGAGCTGATCATAACCCCACAGCTGAACTCTGAGCAGCTTTGAAACTTTGATCAGGTCAGCACATAGCCTGTGAGGGGCTGTGTGCTGACCTGCTGCTCTCTGGCAGGTAGCTCCATGCCCTCCTGGGTTTTAATTGCACCTTAGAACACACATGCATCAACACTACAATGAGCGGGCGGAGGCAGGTTTTGGAGTCTTCTCTCACCCCCGTTATCTGCGACCTGCTGGAGCGGGGGGGCTGGGAGGAGGAGTTGGCCGTCCGATTGGGGTCTGGAGTGTGGGGCCTCCCTGCTGCTGCGGAGTAAAGAAAAGAGAATTTGATCATTAACTTGATCATGTTTGTTAATTTAACATTAACAAACAATTAACAGCAGCCTTCTAAACGTGCTTTATACTGTAAGGTAAAGACCCTGTAATCATACAGAGGAACCCAAACAATCACATCTAAGCGAGCACTTGGAGACAGTGGGAAAGAAAAACTCCCTTTTAACAGGAACCTCTGCACCTGCCCCAGCCTTGCCGATGCTCCTCACCACATCTCTAACTCATTTCTGTTGGTCGTATCCTCAATCTCTGTTTTTCTGTCTCCACCCACCGCTCGGGTGGGGGTGAGAACGCAGCCTGACCGGTGAGCTGACAGCTTCTGGTCACTTCTGGCTCTGAAAGCCAGCATGTTGGCAAAAACTCTAAAGATTCAGAACTCTCAGAAGCCAGTGAGTGAAGTCTGGCTGGTTTCCAGTGACGGTCACTCGTTTCACTCTGATGATGGACACAGAGGTGACTACCCCCCTAGTTCTTCTTTGAAACAGCCTGTCTGCAGGTGTCCTGCTCCTGTCTGCAGACCCAGGAGGGCTCAGACCTCATTTACATGGGGTTACCACGCCCCCTGCAGGAGGACAGCAGAGCACAGGTCAGCATGCAGCTGTCAGCTCAGACAGTGATGATGCATTACCCTAGCTGATCTCATGATATCAGTGATACGAGTAGAGCAGTCAGCTGGTGTCACGGCTCCAGCAGACCTCAGTGTGTTTGCTTCGGGATGCTGAGTGCTGTGTGTGGAGTAGAGCTCGAGCTGAATTCTGTTTCCCAGCACGCTCCTGCAGCCAGAGCTCCCCTGAGGCCTTCACCTCCTCCTGGGCCTCGTGCTCCTCAGGGTGAGCTCCATCTCCAGAGCTGCTGGTAGCCTTCATGTTTCTGCCAACATGTTGGTGTGTGTGGCTCAGAGCACAGGGGAGGTCTTTGGATAACGACAGAGACTCACCAGGAGTATTAGCACTGACCTGAGATCAAAACGTTAGCAGAAACCCTGCTCCTGAGCGTGCCCCTGTTATCATCATGAGTAGAGCACATGAGCAGAGGAGACCCTTCCCCTAAAGGAAGGGCCTCCTCCTGCAGGACTCTTCTGGGGAGGAGGAGCTCCTCTAACAGCCTGTGAGCAGCAGCAGCACTCAGATCTTTAACCCTCTCTGCTCCGTGAGCTCAGCAGTGACAGCCGCTGATATTTTTTTATTAAATGTTCTTTAAGGTGGAATTCAGTTTGAGTTTACTAACTTTATAAAGTTACACGGAGGTTTTATTCATGTGTTTATTTATGCATCTTGTACAGACTCAGAGCTGCAGGTCGCCGTCTCTTTAAAAAGCCCCTCCCCCTCAGGGGTTTCATCTCAGGGGTGGGGCTCACTGAGCTTTTCCTGGTCCCTGTTGGACAGAGGTGGACTGTGATTGGCTGGGAGGAAGATTTCCTGTGTTGATTCAAAGAGGAGGAGAGGAAGAGGAGTTTGTAACGGAGGAAACAGGAGCAGATATGGTTACTGTGAAGTGACAGAGACGAAGAGGAGAAGCAGGAGGAAGAGGAGGTCAGCAGCTCCCGTGGAGGACAGACCAGACTGATCAGAGAGCAGTAAGTACAACAACAACTCGTCCTTATACTCAGAACAGGGTATCTGTGATGTCCCATGATGCACTGCAGAGGAAACAAACCGGTGTTTCTGACTCACAGAAACATCTGTGGACAGAAGACAAAGATTTCACCACGTCTGAATCCTTCAGAGCTCCCAGACTTCCTTGGATCAGAGGCATGACTGATGTTACTGTCGTCACCACACAGCGTCCTGTGAAGCTTCCTATCTAAGTCTGAGCCCAGGACTTCACCTGGTGCTCAGTTTCAGCAGGTTTTACTCTGAGCTTCATTCACCTCAATGCTTCTGAAGCAAACACAGATGTATTGGGGGACACCTGCACTTCAGACGCTTTAACATGCAGAGGAATTGAGCTACCAACCTTCTCAATAGTAGACAGCCTGCTTTACCTCCACAGGAAACTCATACTTGGTATTAAATATGTGTGGAACAAACTGAAGACTGTCAGCTTCTTTTCTTCCCCCACATGAGGAAACTCTGAGGAGGGCGTGTCAGGCAGGACAGGGTGGGGAGGAGGAGGTGCGGGGTCGAAGCAGAGCTGCAGGGGAGTTAGCTCATCCTCCACAGGATGTCCTCCACAGAGCCGCGACAGCAGATCATATAAATATTATTGACCATTCGAGTTTGACTTTGTAAAACTAAAGCTAACGTGGATCCGTCTGTTTGATCAAACTTTATGTCCACGCTTCCTTTCTCTCTCTCTGGATAGCACAGAAGACTTGTTATTGACAGCTGTAGGTGATCATGTGGTCTCGGTTCTCCTAGACTGAACTTGGACACGGTGGATACAGTATTTTACTATCTCACTTGGAACACTGTGCAGTGGTCTAGGTCTTTCCTGGCAGCTTAGTCTCATGTGGGGCACCTCAGGGATCAATACTTGGACCTCTGCTTTTGTCCCTTGGCTTTGCTCTATCTTTAGAAGGCACAAAATTATTTTCCATTTATATACAGATGATGCAAAGGTTTATATGCACCTCAAAAAGAAAAATGACTATTCCAGGTGCAAAATAACTGTCTTGAGAAAGTGAAAGCTTGGTTGTCTCTTCATTATAAAACTTTTCACAAAAACAGAGGTTTGTTCTTTAGGGCCGGGTGTCACTGGTCGGTCCTTTCCTGTGGACCCTCTGGCACTGTACGGAAAGCTCGCTGTCACCAATTTGGGTTTTAGATGGACAGTGTTTAACCTCCTAAGACCCGAACTCTTCCACAGCATGCATTTTTAATTTCTCTTTGATATTTGGGCTGATTGGGATCTTTTTTTTTTTACCTAATTTTTGTTTCTAAGAAAAACGAGAGCCACATATGAGGATATTCGTTTAAAATTTCGATAGAACAGTAGCAGCATAATGTCCTCGTCAGTGGATATCAGGCCCTTGTAGAGCAAAATTGAGTATTTTGGTCTAAATGACCCAAAATGTGATGTCCACGGTGTGGACGCAGGTCCTAGGAGGTTAAGGTTTGACAGTCAGGTGAGAGGAGCAGCTTTTTTCAGCTCGCCAAAATAAAACCCATGTTGTCAAAGGAGGTTTTTAGAACGGTACTCCATGCTTTTATTACAACTCGGCTGGATTATTGTAACTCGTTGTATTTTGATGTTAGTCCGTCATCCTTGTCACGTCTTCAGCTGGTATAAAATGCAGCCGCACGGCTTTTAACTGGTATGTGGAGAGGTGAGCATATTACTCCTGTTTTATCCTCAATACACTGGCTGTCTGTGCATTTTAGAGTTCATTTTAAAATTCTTTTAAAATTTGTTTTTAAACCCTTAAAAGTCTCCCCCACACCGCCTCTCTGAGCTGCTGCACCTGCACACCCCCTCTGAGTCTCTTAGATCAGCTGACCAGATGTTGTTGGACGTGCCGAGGACACATCGGAGGCTTTTGCAGTTGTGGCTCCCAAATTGTGGAATGCACTGACTACAGATTAGAAAGGCCTCCTCACTCCATGTTTTTAAATCTGGTCTGAAGACCCACCTGCACGCTTTGGCTTTTAACCCAGCACAGAAATGTTCATTTTATTTGGGTTTTATTGTTTTTCTGATGTCGGTGCTCTACAGTGTTAATGTTATTGTATTTTTATTTTTAGTGTTTATATTTTTTCTTATTCTATGTTCAGCACTTTGGTTAGTGATAGCTGTTTTTAAAGTGCTTTATAAATAAAGTCAGCTTGGCTAAAAGTTTTATTTTGAAGCAATTATTTTTTTAAGGTCAATATATTTGTCCTGGATCTTTTATTGTGAAAATTAGACATGGTCGTGATCAACAGTTTTTTATTTTGAAACTTTCACGTTTTAATACAGATTCAGTGATAATCAGAGTCAGGTGACATCACACACCTGTGTGTGTGTGTGTGTGTGTGTGTGTGTGTGTGTGTGTGTGTGTGTGTGTGTGTGTGTGTGTGTGTGTGTGTGGTGCAAATCAACATCCTGATTGGCTGCCATCTTTCCCTCTCAGGCCCATGTGACCACTGAGCTGTTGCAGGATGAGCAGGATGCAGAGTGAGCTTGAGGGTCGCCTTGACAACCTGCTGTCACGCATCGCCGCGGAGACACAGGAGATCAAAGAGCTGGAGCAGCAGCTGACCGACGGTGAGGAGAAATCAGACCAATGAGAGAGCGGCACTCTGACTGGAGCCCTCTGATTGGTATCCGGTTAATAAATGGACCCTGGTTCTCGTCCTCAGGTCAGATTCTGGCTAACGAGGCCCTGCAGAGGGAGCTGGAGGAGGTGATCTCTGGACTTCAGGAGTACCTGCGAGGACTCAGGGAGCAGGTACAAACACACCTGATGAACCGGGGAAACGCCGTGATTATTGTCTATCGCTGGCATCATCCTAGTAATGATAATGTTTGTGTTCGGGACTTTGGAGCGAGAGAGCTCCAGTCCGTAGGTGGCGCTCTCCACCTTGTCCAGAATGGGCGGGGCTCTGTTTTTCCTTTGGAAGGTTTGATGGAAGGGCTCGAGTTGCTGATGCAGCGCCACTTGTAGATTTTTTTACAGGATTGTATTGTCGTGAAATATCTTGCTGTGAGCATCACTTCACAGCACCACAAGCCACTTTACGGTACTCCAAAAAGTTGATTCTGTTTATCTTGAAGTAGCGTTTTCAGTGGGAGAAATCACCTGGATGAGTGACGAAACGTTACTCCCACTGAAAACGCTACATCCAGATGAACAGAATCAACTTTTAGTTACCTGGATACTGAGGATGCATCAAGACATTTTAACCCACTTTAGCAAGGACTGCCTAATGCTTGTACGTCAGCATGAGCAAACAGCGGATGGCGGATTACAGGAACCACCTGAGATTCAGCCTCAGATGCCGACAGAACAGGATTACTCCTAAAAGTCTGCAAATGAGCTCTTCAGTTAAAGGCTTCCGGGCTACAAAAATCCTCCAGAAGGCACAGCATCAGCTGCTTAATGAACAGGCGAGGCAAACAAATTTTACCATCAACGTGCTAAAATCTCAAGAGGAGCGTATCTGACCGAGACTGACAATCCTTCTAGATGAGAATACTCTTAACTTCTTTGACTCTTTGACTTCACTGAGAAGGTTCGTCTAGCACAGCACAAGAAGTCTAAGACCAGGCAACAAAGGAAGTTTGACTTGTTGTACGTCGGAAACCACAGCAAAATACGGAGAGTGTCCTCAGCGGCCAGAAGAGAGAAGGATGCGACACCGAGGATGTGGACAAGTGGGTGAAGAATTTGTCTGACAGACAGCTCACCCAAACAGAGAAAATCATCCTTGCTAAAGGGCTGAATTTTGCTGTCACACCGAGACAAATCCCGCCAGTGGAACCGATCACAGCCACAGAAACAGCAATTTGAAACAACAATATTGCAGAAATGGAAGCAGACCAACTACGGACGAAAGTTTCGGCCTGTCTCAGCAATGCAAAGCCCCCAGCATCCAACATCACCATGGAGGAGAGCAAGGCACTCACATCACTTAGTGATGACAACAACATTATCATCTTTCCGGCAGACAAGGGTCGGTGCACAGTATTGCTAAACCAGAAAGACTATCATGAGAAGATTTTGTCACTACTCAGGGATGAAAATACTTATGAACCCCTGAAACGAGACCCAGGAAGTAGCTACAGGAAGAGGGTGATAGACTGTCTGAAGCAGTTGGAACAAGACAAGGCTATCGACCAGACATCATACCACAGGCTACACCCAGGGGAAGCTACACCAAGCCAGTATGGTTTACCGAAGATACACAAACAGGGTGCACCTTTAAGACCGACTGTCTGCATGATCAACTAGGTCACCTATAACATCTCCAAGCTTCTGGCTTCGATCCTCAACCCGTTGGTAGGCAGCTCTGAACACCACATCCAGAACACCCTGGATTTCGTTGAGAAGGTGAGAGATGTCATCATGGAGGCAGATGAAACCATGGTCTCGTACGACATTACATCTCTCTTCACCATCCCAGTCACGGAAGCGTTGGAGATAGTTCGTAAGAGATTACAGGATGACCCCAACTTCAGCAACAGGACCACTCTCAGCATCGACCAAGTGTGTTTGAACTGTGTCTTCATTCCACCTGTTTCACATACAAGGGTCAGTACTACCCACATAGCACACAGGTCTGGCACAGATCTGGTGTCAAGCCGGCACTGCTGGCTGACTTCTGGCATTGTAAGTGGTATGTCATCCAGATATGGGCCAGGCCTGGCATAGATGGCACTGTTTATGTGATGGCATGCCACATCTGGCCTGTTTGTGGTTTGGTTTATGTGGCCCAGGCCCATAGAAAACAGGTCTAGCCTGGATCCGGCATCAAGCTGGCACTTCTGACTGACTGGTGTTATGGCAGGGTGTATGTCAACCAGATGTGGGCCAGGTCTGGCAATGATGGCACTATTTATGTTCCTGTTTTTCTATTTTAGTTAGAAGATCCAAATGCCATGTTGCAATACTATACTTCTATGGTAGCCAACATTTCAAATGCAGGTTTGACTGGTTTGTGAGTGTAAACTTTATCCAAAACCTAGTGACGGTTTACTCATGTTTACCACTGAGTGGCTTTTGCTCTGGAGGTACAGCAAGTCACCTACTGATCGGAAGATTAGTGGTTCAATCCCTGGCTCTTCCAGTGAAGAGTGTGACTGTGTATGAATGTAATTAGAAAGCATTCAGTTTAGAGAAAGTGTGTAAATGTGGCATGTTGTATAGAGCACTTTGAGTAATCTGGGAGAGTAGAAAAGTGCATATAAAAATCAGTCCATTCAGTTTCTGAACAGAGTTTCGTCATGTTACTTTTGCACTATTATGTTCGGGCACATGTTGTTATTACATGGCTTGATTAAGGTACACATTAGGCTGACATCTGGGGCCAGAGCTGAAACTGTTCTGGGCCAGCACAGGGCCAGCAGTGTGTCTGCAACTGGCCTGTGGCTGCAAACAACATCTGGTTTTCCAGAGGTGACCCACACATGGGCCAGCACGAGGCCAGTTGCAAACACACTGGTGGTCCTGTGCTGGCCCACATGTGGGCCACCTCTGGCCAACCTGATCTGGGCCACCAAAGGGCTGTCATTCTTTGCGGTATGTGGGCCATGTGTAAGCACATTGTGTGGGCCAGATCCGGGCTATACCAATTTTGCTATGTGGGTACAGACAGAAACATGGGTGTGCCATGGGTTCCCCAGTATCACCCATTGTGGCCAATTTGTGCATGGAAGAAGTGGAAGATCTTAATGACCTTGTAGTACCATAACCTTGTAGTACCATATCACCCTATTAGAGCACTTTGCTCTCGCACTGCAGGGTTACTTGTTGTTCCTAGAGTATTTAAAAGTAGAATGGGAGACAGAGCCTTCAGTTTTCAGGCCCCTTTTTGGTGGAACCAGCTTCCAGTTTGGATTCAGGAGACAGACACTATCTCTACTTTCAAGATCAGGCTTCAAACTTTCCTTTTTGCTAAAGCATATAGTTAGGGCTGGACCAGGTGACCCTGAATCCTCCCTTAGTTATGCTGCAATAGACGTAGGCTGCCGGGGATTCCCATGATGCATTGAGCTTTTCCTTTCCAGTCACCTTTCTCACTCACTATGTGTTAATAGACCTCTCTGCACTGAATCATATCTGTTATTAACCTCTGTCTCTCTTCCGCAGCATGTCTTTATCCTGTCTTCCTTCTCTCACCCCAACCAATCACAGCAGATGGCCCCGCCCCTCCCTGAGCCTGGTTTCTTCCTGTTAAAAGGGAGTTTTTCCTTCCGACTGTCGCCAAAGTGCTTGCTTATAGCGGGTCATATGATTGTTGGGTTTTTCCTCTGTATCTATTATTTTAGGGTCTACTGTACAATATAAAGCGCCTTGAGGCGACTGTTGTTGTGATTTGGCGCTGCATAAATAAAATTGAATTGAATTGAAAACAGGGCTTTACTATCCTACCCTGGAACACCACCAATTCATTGGTTCAGGTATGTGGATGACACCTGGGTGAAAATCAAATCTCAGGACGCACCACATTTCACAGATGACATTAACTCGGTGGACCGACACATCAAATTCACCAGGGAGGATATGAAAAGTAGCAGGTTAGCCTTCTTAGACTGTGAGATTTCCATCAGTAATGGGGGACATCTAAAAGCTGACATGTAAACCTACACATACAGATCAGTATTTAAGGTTTGACTCTCATCATCCACCGGAGCACAAACTGGGTGTCATCAGGACGCTACAACACTGAGCGAACACCATCCCCACTGACACAGCAGCCAGGGAGGCAGAAGAACATCAAGAAGGCCCTGAGTAAATGTGGTTATCCCAGCTGGACTTTTGTCAAAGCTGGAAAGGCTCCTAAAGAAAGCTCCAGTAGATCCAGGAGAGAAGGACAACCGCTGTCCAGCCGAAAACCTGTAGTGATCCCGTACGTGTCAGGAGTATCGGAGCAGTTGAGATGCATTTTTTCTAAACACCGGGTCTCTGTGGCTTTTAAACCCCAAAACACGCTGCGCCAAAAACGGGTCCAGGATCGGGTCCCCGACACAAACACAGTAACATAGTGTACGCTGTTAAGTGCAGGAGGATTGGCAGGATTTATACATCGGGGAAACCAAACAACCTCTGGCTACAACACAGAAGAGCCACCTCGTCAGGCCAGGACTCTGCAGTCTATTTACACCTACAGGCCAGTGGACACTCTTTCAGTGATGAGGATGTTCACATCCTGGACAGGGAGGAACGCTGGTTTGAGGGCGGAGTCTTTCCCTTTCATTTATGTGAAAAGGGAAAGACCATCTCTGAATCGAGGAGGGGGCCTAAGGGTACATCTGTCACCATCTTACAATGCTGTGATTGCAGCCATTCCCCAACTGTCTGTGAAAGGTACTCATGGCCATTGATCAGTGGTTGCTGATCAATGGTCATGAGAATTTGCATAATCATGATGAATGAACTGACCTCCCAGCCCATTGTTCCTTCAGTGGGTTTCAGTCATTATGCAAATGTCCTGTTTATAAGATTGAAAACTGCAGTCAGCTGAGACAGAAAAAGTCACCTGGATGATGACAAAACGTTTCTCCCACAAAACGCTACGTCCAGATGAACAGAATCAACTTTTGGATTTTATTTACTTACCTGGATGATTGAGAATGCATCAAAACACTTTACGGTACCTTCCACTTTGATTTGGGGTGTGAGGCGAGCAGCTGCCCCCTGGTAGCATCACCTGCAGCCATCACAACCTCCTGATGTCTGTCTGATGAGCGCCATCGAAGGATGGCATCCTGTCCTAACCAACCAATCAGCACACATTGGCAGAACGCTAATACAAAATGGTCCACTGCGTCCGTTCACAGAGGACAGTGTCAGAGCCCCCTGCTGTGCCGCCGATCCATATGCTTACTTAATGGTCGATGGCCCAGCTGCACCCACAGCACGCCCTCTGCTGGCTTATTCACCCAAGAGCTGCGATGAATAAAAGCATGCTCACGAGGAAGCGAGGCTGACGCCGTCACGTGGCTCACTGGTTTCTGAAGCCCTCAGGTTAACGTTTCCTCCAGTGCCATCTTGGTTGCAAACTAGCAGATGTGATGTGGAGGGGCGGATCTGACTAAAAAGACGAGTAACTAGAAGTCATTAGCCAATCAGCATGCAGATTGAAGTCACATGATCAAAATGTAAAGATTGAATTTGACTTTGTATCAAACTGTTGGCAGAGGTCAGAGTTCAGAAGGCTGGTTTCTCATACTTCTATAGAACAGGAAGTGTCGCCATCTGGTGGCCATCAGAGATAACGCAGGTTTTCCACCCTGGCTTCATTTTTACCTCCTGCGGTCATGAACATGTGCAGTCTAACTACTGATGAATCTGGTAAATGAAGAGTGTGTGTGTGTTTCAGGCTCATTGCTCTCAGCAGCAGGTACACACTCTGCAGGCTGAAAATCTGAGTCTGCAGCTCCACCTGGAGGAAGCTCAGAGGCACTGCACACAGCTGGAGGACTTGGCCAGGTCTCACACACAGGTGAGTGTGTTATTTTGCAGGTGTCACTGTTTAACACGCCCACCTGACTGCCTGAGGGTCTGTCTGTGTTTCAGAGCATGTCTGTCCAGCAGGGGGAGCTGTTTGCACTCAGGATGGAGGTGCAGGCTCTCAGGGAGAGACAAGTGCAAAGCAACAGACACCAGGCACAGCTGGAGGTGGAGCTTCAGCAACTGAGGGAGGAGCTAAGCCAGAAGGTGCCGCTGGGACAGGTACGTGAATGTCTGCAGGTCACTCAGAGCAGAGCAGCAGGATTTCAGCCTAAACAGCCTCTGAGTCATGTGACCTGTGATCACGTCTTCATTAAATCAGCCCAGAGCTCAGGTGTGTTTCATACATGCTTTTACAGACAGGTGAGCCTGCACGCTTCATCAGGTAACCTCCCCAACAAGACAACAACATCAGTCTGAGTCTGACAATTGAACACAAACAAGCATACACTCACACACACACTCACACAGTCTTGTCTTGTCTCCAGTCCTGCTCTGATGTAACTGGACGTGGGCTCGTATTGATCAGATATTGGTAATACTGATGATGCCCACACATCAGACACAGAGGTGAAGCAGGGCTCTCGTCTGTCTGCAGGAAGACGTCCACAGACTTCCGGCTCAGCTCTCAGGTCCAGCGGAGGAGCGGCAGGAAGATGAATCCCGGTCTGAGGCGAGCAGGTCGGTGTTTCTTCCTGCTTTGTCACCGTGGTCATGTGACCTGCTCACACCGCAGTGAGCTAACAGCATCATCCATGCCTCGCTGTGAGGACCGCTGCGACCTATTTCTACACAACGTTGTTTTCATCAGCATCAGCTTTACGAATACATTTGTACCTCAAAAAGTTTGATTACAATGGCTTTGTGGGGCTGCAGTCTGAGACTAGAGATGTGGACCCAAAACGATGCATCCCTGTGCTTGCTACAAACAGCCCGGCTTCAGGCAAGCTCGAGGCCCAGGCAGGATCCAGGCCTTGAGGCTGAAACCCGAAGTTGAGCAGAACAAAGAAGTGGACACAACCCCAGGAGCGCAGAAAGGCAAGAATTGGGGGAGATAAAGAAGAGAAGATGGAGGATGACGAGGTGTTGAAAGACTGTCAGCAGGCTGCAGACACACTGATGTCTTTATGCTGAACTCCTTAAAACTTAACCAAGTCGACGAGAATGGGATTTGAATCGACAACGATGGGCTTAGCAGTCCATCGCCTTAACCACTTGGCCACATCGTCCCTGCACAAGCGTGTCTCTGTGGAGGACACAGCATGACTTCATGAAGACATAATGAGTCCATCTGCTGGATTGACCTCTCCAGCTGATCCTCGAGCATCAAACACGATGTCTGCAGTTCAGATTTGGACGTCAGCCTCACGTCACGTGTCTCAGACAGCGCTCTGAGCTGTTTCATACTCACAGTACGCTGAGCGTGTGCGCGATCAGGCTTCACACAGACGAGGTGGCCGAGTGGTTAAGGCGATGGACCGCTAATCCATTGTGCTCTGCACGCGTGGGTTCGAATCCCATCCTCGTCGGCTTGAGTGAGTTTTATGGAGTTCAGCATGGAGACATCAGCGTGTCTGCATCCTGCTGAGGAAAACAACGTTGTGTAGAAATAAGTCATAAAGAAAGGATGTCGGAGAAGGAAATAAAAAATTAAATCAAGTCAGAAATATAAAAATAAACTCTGGAATAAAAACAACAATAGAGTCTTCAGTCCTGATTTTTGTGTCTTTTGATCATCGCAGTGAGGCGTGGATGATGCTGTCAGCTCACTGCGACATGAGAGTGAGCGGGTCACATGACCACGGTGAGACAGGAGGAAGAAAGGGGCGTGGTTAACAGCAACTCATTCAACTTTGGGGGATTTTTCTTACCTGGATGATCGACGATGCATCCAGAAATAGTAATAAATCATAAATAATTCTCTAATGACATTTAAGAAGCCATGTAGTTAACTATAAAGTGAATAAATGATGTCTAAATAAAACTACAAAAAGAGTTCATATAAATACAAACTTCCATGTGTTGTGATTGTGAAATAAAAGCTGGAATAAATCTAAAGATGTGAGCGTGTTTTCATTCTCAGCTCACAGTTCTGATCCAAATCCAGCCCACCTCGGCTGTTCGTGTGCTTTTTATATGAATTCCTCTAGCTGACCTCTGACTTCTCGTCCCGTCAGGCCTAACCTCACACTGCCCAGATGCTGGCATCAGTGCTCTGGGACCATCCAGCAGACCAGGACCACCATGGCTCACAAGCACAGCCAGGAACACATGAGCAGACCGCAGGCCCGGCCGGAAGCCCGGCTGGACCGGGACCAGGTGAAGCCCTTTGAGGAGCCAGAGGAGGAGGTGCAGAGGAGTCAGAGCAGGCACAGATTCCTGCAGAACAGTCTGGTGGGTATCACAAAAACAGCTCCTTCCAACATCAAGACATCAGCTGACGACTCTCACGTTTATTGTTTTGGCGGGGGGGGGGGGGCATGGATGTTTGTGTCTGTGTGTGCCTGTATGTCTGTGTCTATATGTCAGGTTGGGTATCAGACGCCACCTCTCTGGGGACACCTCAGGCCCTCCAAGGTTTGGAGGCCTATCTCCCCCCACCACCACTTCCCCTGCCAGTGGCGGACCCCCTCAGACATCGGTGCGTTGGTGGTTCTTTGTATCTGGGGATGGGCGTCACACACCGGCTCACTCCTTGGCGGCCGCTTATCGGGGCCTGGAGTCTGGGGCTCGGTCACTCAGGCACGGCTGGCTGCCGGCGGAGCTCACGGGCGCGTCACTGCAACTCCCCCTGGCTTCTGCTCCGCGGCTGCTGAGTGAGCCCTCATCTGGGACTCTCCTCAGCTCTTTCTGGGACAGTGGCGCAGCTGCCCCTCTGTTGGTCTTCCTTGGTCTCTTGTGTTCTGGGGGCCTCTGGATGTCTGGAGTTTTGATCTCCTCCATACCTGCTTCATGCCCTGGAGGACGGGGCTGTGGCCCCCCCACACCCTCTAGCAGATCATTACATGAAGGAACCTTTTAAAAAAACAAGCGCGTCCATGCTCACAGGTGTACACACGGGTGATCACACCCACAAACTACACCCTTTTTGGCTCCTACCTCAAAGCACACTGTGTTCTGTTGATCTTATGTGCTGCACAATAATGTTTAATATTTAGTATTTACTGTCATATTCCCATATATCATTGTGATGCTGTTTATTCTATTACTCTTGTTCTCTTCTGCTTGCTTTCTTTTTTCTTTCTCAGCAGGGGATCCAGGTGATCCATATTTGTATCTTTTGGCTGTTTGTTTTGTTGTTTTTTGTTTTTTGCCCTTTATCCCCGTCCCTCTTCTCCGCTGTTTTACTTTCTCCCCAGTCATGTCTGTCCTGTGTGTAGCAAGTGAAAATAAAAGAAAATAAACAATAAAAGTAAAGGTGAATCAAATAGACCATTACGGCAAGGCTGGGATGGTCCATTTGGTAAAGAGCACAATGGATTAGCAGTCAATCGCCTTAACCTCTCGGCCACCTGGTACAGGGACTCTGGCTTCACCTCATGCTGAGTCTGAGCTCTGATGGCAGTGTGCTCGATGCCCGCCTGCTCCGGCAGACTGGAGATATCCTGTCCAGCTGCAGAGCTTTCCTCAAGGAGCCGTTGGAGTCTCAGAGGGCAGTCAGGTTCAGCAGCACCGTGAGTCAAATGTGTGCAGCTATTTACTGCCCATCCAAACCTGCCGTGTCCTCCAAACCCGAGAGTCTCGAGTCCACGACACTGCAGAGCTGCAAGAGTGCGAGTTTCCTGTGATCTTCTGCAACTGCAGCACAAACTTCATCACTGTTTCAACAACAAGGCTGCAGCGTGAAATATAAGACATGTAGAGTCCATCTATCACCCACCGGCTCGCTCATGCTGAGAGAGAGCACTGCAACATCTGTGCTAACAGCCCGCAGGCTCAGCACTCGGTCAGCAGCCCATCTCAGCCCGCCTTGCAGCATGGAGGAGGTGGCTGAGAGCTGAAGCCAATGAACCGCCAGTCCTTTGTGCTCTGCACACGTGGGTTTGACTCCCATCCTTGTCAGGGTGGTTCAGAGTTACGAGCTTCAGGATGTCCTGACTCCCGAGTGATGCTGGCTTTGTTAGAGCAGACAACAGTTAGCTTGCAGTTGTCTGATCTGTTTCCTCCTTGAACGTCTTGACGCAGAGTTTTTATTTATGGCGTCCTTCGTTATAACCAGGTTATTTTTTTCATTTCTGCAGATGATGAAAGACTTTTATTTTGAAATCCACCTTTGTCTGTAAATGAGTTTCCACTCGGTCTGTTTGAGGTCATCATCAGGATGATCTTTGGATGAGCTTTATTTAAACTGCTGCAGGTGAACAAACACATGACCCTAAAACAAAATTGCGTCAGACGATCTCTAATCTCATTCTGACACTTCCTGTTCTGTGCCCCAGCTGCGCTCACAGAGCGACGCCCACCAGAGGAGCCTCGGCCACCTCAACAGGAAGTTACGGCAGCTCAGCAGGTCCACGCACAACATCGACCAGCTGACTGTGGAACAGCTGAAATTCACCATCGAACTGCTGAGAGCGCTGAACCAGCTGCTGCACACACAGGTGCGCGCACACATACACACACACTTTTATATGTGATGCAACTAACAAACCTCCAGGGGGTGCTGTTTTTACACGACAGTCCGGCTGTCGTCAGGTTTTCTCACCTTCTGTTTGGTTTTGTTTCATCTTTTGAGGTTTTTACGCCGTTTTTAGACTCTGAGATTTTCCGTGAATACCTTTAATCGCTTAGAAGGAGGCCTGCTGTGTTTGACTTCCTCTCAGGAATCTGTGGACGGAGACGCTCACTGGGACCAAGGCCTGCGATCCCCCAAGGCCGAGCCATCTGAGGCTCGCAGGCTAAAGCTGGACCGGGTGAGAAGCAGGACTGGAACCAGGACTGGGACCGGTGCTGAGGATGGGGGACGGTGGTTTGTGCATGCTGCACTCAGTGTGAGTCTTCCTACACAGTGCTACTCATCACATCACAGATCACTGTGAACTAAACAAAGAGCTCTGCGGGGAAGACGACAGTAAGGACATGTGAGGTGGTGATAGGCGTGCAGTGTAGACCGCTTCCTGTCTGATTCGCTGTCAGTGCTGAAACGTTTGAGCTGGTGTGCAATCAGAAGGTTACATATGGGTGACAGCTTGTGCTGAAGTGCACTGTCGCCCTCTTTAGGTTGGAGGGTGTAAATGAATCCACAGAATCGCTTCAGTCTGATGACGTGTTTGAAATCATCAAAATAAATTTAAATGTAGCTCAGCTGCTTCAAACCTCACACCGGTCTGATACTGAACTGATAACAGTGTGTGTGTCTGCAGGGAGGCAGGTGTGTGTGTGACCACAGTGAAGCAGAGAAGAAGAGGCTACAACTGGAAACCAGAGAGCTGCGACACACACTGAGACAGCACAGGTAACACACACAGACATGGATACACACTGCTCTGGGATCAGGGTTTAGGATCAACGCTGAGAGGAGCTGAAGCCCCGACAGCAGAAAGGACGATCCAGCAGATGGACTCATTATGTCTACATGAAGTCCTGCTGTGTCCTCCACAGGGACACGCTCATGCAGAGACGAGGTGGCCGAGTGGTTAAGGCGATGGCCTGCTAATCGTGGGTTTGAATCTTATCCTCATCGGCTTGGTGGAGTTTTAAAAAGTTCAAAGTGTTGGGCTCAGAAATGAATCCTGGACCTCAGGAAGATGTCAGTGATGAAACAGTTAATCAAAGATGTGAACATCAAAATTATTAACGAATAAATACAGAGAAATCAGGATGTTCACCTCTGCTGAGGCTTCTGATTTTTACAGGCTGTTACCAAAACTCATTCAGGTTATTTGATGTGTGTGTGTGCGTGTGTGTGTGTGTGCGTGTGTGTGTGTGCGTGTGTGCGTGTGTGTGTGCGTGTGTGTGCGTGTGTGTGTGCGTGTGTGTGTGTGTGTGTGTGCGTGTGTGTGTGTGTGTGTGTGCGTGTGTGTGTGCGTGTGTGTGTGCGTTTGTGTGCGCGTGTGTGTGCGTGTGTGTGCGTGTGTGTGTGCGTGTGTGTGCGTGTGTGTGTGCCTGTGTGCATGTGCAGGAGTGTCATGAAGCTGTGTGATGAGGTGGAGTGTGTGGAGAAAACTCTGCTGAAGAGACGAGCGGAGCTGCGAGAGGCCGACAGGAAACTGCTGGAGGCTCAGAGCTGCATACACACCAGCAGAGTCCAGGTATACACACACACACACACGCACACACACACACACACGGTGGTGTGTTATACTCTGGCGAACCCACAATATTACAGAAAAGCTCAACAATCACACGATTCTCTGTGAGCAGCACTTGGTGACTGTGGGGAGGACGAACTCCTTTTAACAGGAGGAAACGTCCAGCAGATCCAGGCTCAGCGTCTCGTCACCCTGAGACTGAATCTTTTTACATCAGTTTTATTGACAAAACTATTCATTAATAATTTTATGGTCAATCACCAAAACGACTAAAAAGAGAGAAAAACATGAGCTTGGATCAGTTTCTTTAATAACTGATGACGCGCTCGCCGCTCTAACCTCGACCCTTCCCGCTCCGTCCTCGTGTGTCCTCCAGGCCAGCGAAGCTCAGCGAGACGCCGCTGCGCTGCGGCTCAGAGGGGAGGACAAACAGCGTGCCAGGTAAAGTGTCCTGGCTCCAACCATGACCTCAGAGATCAGGGTGGATATTTTCATCATCGCCACCATCTTCATCACACAGGGAGTTGCAGGAAGAGGTGGAGCAGCTGAGGAGGATGAGGGAGGAGGAAGAGCAGATGCTCAGGCAGGTGGAGGAGGAGCTGAGGAGCAGAGAGGAGGAGCTCCAACAGCTCGACAGGGAAATACAAACAGCCAGAGACACGTAAGGAGGCTTTTACTGTGAAGGAGACAGGAAGTTTTTACTGTGAAGAGGTGGCTGTTGTATTTTGTCAGGTTTCTCCATATAAACTTCAGCTGTGTGTGTGTGTGTGTGTGTGTGTGTGCAGACTCGCTGACCTGCTGTCTGACTGTGTGGAGGCTCAGGGGCATCTGGACTCTCTCAGCACTCAGGTGAGGTCACACCTGTACCTGTCCCAGAGTTTGGACCCCGTCCTGATGGAGACGGGCCGGCGCGGCTGACGGAGGATCCCGGGTTATAACAGAAAAACAGTCGCTCTGCTTTATTTTGAATATTTGTGCTTTTTGTTTTGAGATCAGGAAGTGAGTGACCATGTGACTCTTTAAACCAATCAGCTGAAGAGGGACGAGGTGGAGGGAGCGAGGGATGAGCTGCACGAGCTGGAGGGCATGGTGGACAGGAAGAGGGAGGAGCTTGCCGAGCTGACGCAGAAAGTGGAGTCCCGCAGGAGAGAGGCCGAGTCGTGTCTCCAAGAGAAAAGCCGGCAGCAAACAGAGCTGCAGGTCAGGGAGCACCATAGTGTGCTGATGTGTGAGGAGGAAGAGGAGCTGATACCTCACACTGGGTCAGCTGACCCTGAACAGGTCAGACGATGGGTGGATGCTCATGATGGTCTATGGTTTATGTGCAGGAGGTGCAGGAGGAGCTAAGCAGGAGGAGGGAAGAGAGGAGGAGCCTGCAAGAGCAATGTAAACACCTGGAGGCCAGGCGGAAGCACGCTGACAGGTACTCTGAGTGCTCGGAGACATGTGATTGGTAGAAACACGTTAAACCGTGTGTGTGTGTGTGTGTGTGTGTGCCAGGTGTCTGTCGGCGGTGCAGGTGGAGCTCGCTAAACAGAAGGAGAAACACAGCCACAACCAACTCCTTCAACAGGAAGTGATGAGGGAAACAACAGCCAATCAGCACCACCTAAACAGTATGAGCTCATCCTGTCAACCTATCTCTAATAATCAGCTATGTACCACAGGCCTTCAAGCTGGCTGTAGTTAAACCTTTACTCAAAAAGCATCTCTAGACCCAGCAGTCTTAGCTAATTATAGGCCAATCTCCAACCTTCCTTTCATATCAAACATCCTTGAAAGAGTAGTTGTCAAACAGCTAACAGATCATCTGCAGAGGTTTATTTGAAGAGTTTCAGTCAGGTTTCAGAGCTCATCACAGCACAGAAACAGCTTTAGTGAAGGTTACAAATGATCTTCTTATGGCCTCTGACAGTGGACTCATCTCTGTGCTTGTCCTGCTAGACCTCAGTGCAGCGTTCGATACTGTCGACCATAATATCCTATTAGAGCGATTAGAACATGCTGTAGGTATTACAGGTACTGCGCTGCAGTGGTTTGTATCATATCTATCTAATAGACTCCAGTTTGTGCATGTAAATGGAGAGTCCTCTTCACACACTGAGGTTAATTATGGAGTTCCACAGGGTTCAGTGCTAGGACCAATTCTGTTTACATTATACATGCTTCCCTTAGGCAGCATCATTAGAAGACATAGCATACATTTACACTGCTATGCAGATGACACCCAGCTCTATCTGTCCATGAAGCCAGATAACACACACCAATGAGTTAAACTGCAGGAATGTCTTAAAGACATAAAGACCTGGATGGCCGCTAACTTTCTGCTTCTTAATTCAGATCAAACTTTGCAGATGGCTGCCGTCGCTCGCTGTCCTCCTCAACTCTGCGTTTTTCTTATGCTAGTTATGTTATTTCTTAGTTTATTTTCAACCTGTGATGCTTTTATCACCTACAGCAGACAAACTCTCCTGGACATTCGACAAAACTCGCAATCCGGACCTTCACAAACCAACTTTTTTGTGAATGGTGGTGACTCACCTTGGCTACCTGGGAAGAAGAAACACTGGAGAAAAAGGGGAAAAAGAGCCGGGATTCTGGTCAGGCTGAGGAAAAGACAACATTGCACCCTGCTTCCCAGCATTCTTCTAGCTAAGGTCCAGTCCTTGGAAAACAAACTGGATGAACTAAGGGCCAGGATAACTTTCCAAAGGGACAGTAAGAACTGCAACGTCTGAGGAGCTCTCCATTCACCACCAGGACAGAACAAAGGACTCGGGTAAATGTAGGGGAGGTGGTGTGTGCGTAATGACCAACAAACGGTGGTGCACTGATGTACAGATAGTTTCGTCGCGGTGCTCTCCTGATTTTGAACACCTTATGATCAGATGCAGACCCTTTTATCTGCCCAGGGAGTTTACAGCAGTATTCTGTACCGCTGTTTACATTCCCCCCCCACGCTGAAACCACACGGGCACTGGACGAACTGTTTGACATTATCGACCGGCAGGAAACGTTACACCCGGAGGCTGCTTTTATCGTGGCTGGTGACTTTAATAAAGCCAACATGAAGAAAGTTCTGCTGAAGTTTTACCAGCACGTAAACTTTCCAACGTGTGGTGATAACATCTTAGACCACGTTTACGCTCCATACGCACATGCCTGCAAAGCCCGCCCCCAACCGGCCTTCGGCAAATCAGATCACTCCTCAGTTCTGCTGTTGCCAGCCTATAGGCAGAAGCTGAAAAGCGACCAGCCCATGACGCGTAACGGACTTTATTCATAAATGCATCAATGACGCCGTACCGCGGGCTGTTGTACAAACTTACCCCAACCAAAAGCCGTGGGTTAACGGAGAGGTCCGTGCAGCGCTCAGAGGACTGCAGGCTTTAAATCCGGAGACCCAGGTGAATACAAAACATCCCGGTATGCACTCAGGAAAGCAATAAAGACGGCCAAGGGACAGTACAAAGGAAAGGTGGAACTCTGCTACGGCTACTCCAACATCAGGAGCATGTGGAGCGGTCTGAAGACCATCACAGACTACAAGGGAAACAGCGGCAGAGTGAGGGAGGCAACGGCTTCTCCACCTGATGATCTCAACACCTTCTATGCACGCTTTGATGAACATATATCTCAGGAGTTTTTGCTGGAAGAGGAGAGCTGCCTTCTTCAGATATCTCAGGCAGTCGTGTGTAAATACTTCAGGAAAGTAAACACTCAGAAAGCTCCTGGATCAGACAACACTCCAGGTCATGTTTTCAAAGCCCAGGAGCTGGCAGATGTCTTCACAGACATTTTTATCCTTTCCCTGCTCCAGTCTGCTGTCCCAAATGTTTTAAGAGGACCACCATCATCCCTGTCCCTAAGAAAACTAATGTGAGCTGCCTAAATGACTGTCGCCCAGTAGCACTCACCTCCATTGCCATGAAGTGCTTTGAGCGCATAGTCAAAGCTCACATTACATCTTTAATCCCTGCTTCACTTGATGCGCTCCAGTTTGCCTACAGGCCAAACAGATGTACAGACGATGCAATGGCAGTAGCACTTCACACTCCCCTCTGCCACCTGGACCAGAAAAACACATGTGTGCGGATGCTGTTCATAGACTATAGCTCCGCCTTCAACACCATCATACCACCCAGACTCGTTATGAAACTCCGTGACCTGAACTTTAGCTCCTCCCTGTGCAGCTGGATCCTGGACTTCCTGACAGACATCACCTCATCCACACTCACACTCAGCACAGGTGCCCCCCAGGGATGTGTGCTCAGCCCCCTGCTTACACCCTGTTCACCCACGACTGTACAGCAACACACAGCTCCAACACCATCATCAAATTTGCAGACGACACCACCATCATCGGCTGCATTTCTGATGGAGATGAGACGGCATACAGGGCAGAGGTGAGAGCCCTGACCTCATGGTGCCGCGACAACAACCTGCTGCTTAACGTCAGCAAAACCAAGGAGCTCTGTGTGGATTACAGGAGACTGCAGAGAGGAGGCCACACCCCCATCCACATCGAAGGAGCAGAGGTGGAGAGAGTCAGCTGCTTCAGATTCCTGGGCATCAACATCAGCGAGGATCTGAGCTGGTCACACCATGTTGGTGTGATCACAAAAGCAGCAAGATAGCGGCTCTTCTTCCTGCAGTGCCTGAGAAGATTCGGCATGAACCTCAGAATACTTACAAACTTCTATCAATGCACCATTGAAAGTATTCTGACTGGCTGCATCACCACCTGGTACAGCAGCTGTAATGCTCTGGACTGCAAAGCTCTGCAGAGGGTGGTGAGATCAGCGCATCACCAGGACTGAACTGGCAGCCATGCAGGATCTCTGCAGACAGCGCTGCATGAGGAAGACACAGCGGATCCTCTCTGATCCCAGCCACAGACTTTTCACACTCCTGCTGTCCGGCAGGCGGTTCAGGAGCATCCAGACCCGCACTACCAGACACGGACAGTTTTTACCCACAAGCCATCAGACCTTTGAACTGCTGACATCCCATACACACCACTACACACTGTACACTGTCACTTCAACAAATGCTACTTAAATGCTCATCGCACAACTTTGTACAACCTGAGATACTCTTGCACAAACTTGTAAATACCAACTAAATTCTCTAATATTTAATACTTTTTAATACGTCTTCTTTTTATTGTTATTATTATTATTATTTTATTACTACCACTGCTATTTTCTGTTATTTTCTTCTCAATATAACTGCACACTCTCTATATGCTCATGTAAAGCTGAGGAGCACGAGCCAAAGAATTTCATTATGGATAAATGTGGCTACACTGTTTATGACAATAAAACTTGAAACTTGGTTATTGTACTCGGCCCTGAAAATCTTAGAAATATGGTATCTAAGCAGATTCTTACTCTGGATGGCATTACCTTGGCCTCCAGTAACACTGTGAGAAACCTTGGAGTCATTTTTGACCAGGACATGTCCTTCAATGCACATATTAAACAAATATGTAAGACTGCTTTCTTCCATTTGTGCAACATCTCTAAAGTTAGAAATATCCTGTCTCAGAGTGACGCTGAAAAACTAGTTCATGCATTTATTACTTCCAGGCTGGACGACTGTAATTCATTATTATCAGGAAGTCCTAAAAACTCCCTGAAAAGCCTTCAGCTGATCCAAAATGCTGCAGCAAGAGTCCTGACAGGGACTAGAAAGAGAGAGCAGATTTCCCCTTCATTGGCTTCCTGTTAAATCCAGAATTCAAAATCCTGCTCCTCACATACAAGGTCTTAAATAATCAGGCCCCATCTTATCTTAATGACCTTGTAGTACCATATCACCCTATTAGAGTCTAAGTCTAAGTCTAAATCTAAGATGGCGCTGGAGTGACAGCAGCCTTTCCAAGTAGCTCTGCAACACCGCACCTTTTTTGTTAACTTTAACTTTTTTAGACTAGGCTTTTCAAACTTTTTTTCACCTTCCTCTACTTATACCTCTTAGATATAGCGATACAAGATGGATAATGCACTTTTTAAAACTTCTGGAACCAGTTCCTTCATCTATTCGAGAGCGGAGCTGCTGGCACTAAAAACAAAGGGACAGACCGGTGTTCCAGATCTACTGGCGTTTAGATCTACTGGCGTTGGTCGAACAGATGTGTGGCAGTCTTGCGTTTCAGGAGCTGCTACCGACAAACCAGCAAAAAAACGCCAAATGTGTCACCTGTGACACGTGTGAGGTTATCTCAAACACACTCCGTCAGTCTTGATGCTGTTGAACAACAAAATGTTTAAAATGTGGCGAGTTTACCTGGTGATATCCTCACGCGCGACGCGATCGCGAAAACAGCAAACAAGTAACACCACGCCGATGTTGTTCACAGGACAGCAAGAGTAAACGATCGGGAGACCCTTGTCGTCGTCATCGTTCCCCTCGCACGGTTTATTTCTCCGGTTTCAGCGTTTTTGCTTCACAACTACAGCGAGCAGTTTACTTTGTGCACTAACATGGACTCGAGTCAACCAGCGCCACCTCTGGCCAAGTGCCACAGCCTACAGCCAGATCAGCCTGTGACACACATCTGCACCTGCTGCTATGATCACATTGAGTAGAGGCTGAGTGGCTGCACTTACTTCTATCCCTACTTTTATTTTTTCCATGTCTATTTAAGTGCTATTTATGACAGCATGTTTGCACTGAAGCACCGCAGCAATTTCCTAATGTTGTAAACCTGCTCAACATTTGGCAATAAACCCCTTTCTGATTCTGATTCTGATTCCTTTGTCCCCCTCCCCAGCCTCTCGAGGTTCTGGGGGGAGGCTGTAGTGTTTTATCACAAGCACATCCCTTGTGAAGGTTCTGTTTGATGTTGCTTCCTGCTTTTATGATCCTTTTGGTGAGCAGGAGGTCACACACACACATTCTCACATGTATACAGGTGCTTACACATACACACACATAGTGCCTTGTCTTTGTAACCAAGGGGGTTTTACGGTGGGAGGTGCTTTGGCTGTGATGTGTACTGTAATTGTCACGTCAATAAAAAGTTTACGAGGAAGCTGCTCTTTGAAGGATTTGGGCTAGAGACAGATGATGAGCATTATGCTCCACCGCCTGGTTCTGACCAAACCTCTCCCTCGTTAGCGAGTAAAAAAACAGTTGGAGATGTTCTGTTATGTCTTGTGTTCTTCATGAGGAATAAGTCTCTAAACTATCGGGGCTTGTGGAAACACAGACCCAACAGAGGTAATTCCACAGGATTCACATCAGGAGGTGAATGAATCTGCATGTGGGCAGAAATAAACCGTCCTAAGAATAAAGAGAGTCGATGTTCAGACCCAGAGTAAAGATGTGAAACATCCCTGTAGTGAGTGGATCCTGAAACATGCCGGCTAAAACAAACAGATCCCATCAGACGGATGACTCTGGCTGCAGGTTCATCTGTAGCATCATCTGAGAATGAAAACCAGCCACGAGAAGAGCTTTGAGCCATGCTGCAGGTCAGGTGAATCAGCACAGATGGAAACATGAAGCTGCCACTCAGTAACATGATCCATTTATCTGCCTGATTCTTCTCTTACTGACCAACTTCTACTAATGCACCATCGACATTATTCTGTCTGACTGTATCACGACCTGGTACGGCAGCTATAACGCTCTATGGAGGGTGGTCAGATCAGCACAGCGTATCACCAGGTCCGAGCTGTCAGCCATCCCGGACCTCTACAGGCAGCGCTGCAGGAGGACGGCCCAGAGGATCCTCTCTGGTCCCAGCAACACAGCCTCACACTCCTCATGTGGTACAGGAGCGTCCACACCCACAGCAGCAGATTCAGGGACAGTTTCTACTTATAATATAATATAATATAATACAATATAATATAATATAATATAATATAATATAATATAATATAATATAATTCTACTTATAATGTTCTTCCTCTACCCCCCCATTTTTGCACATGTCGAGGAGCGTGTCAGGCTACATTTCACTGTGTGTTATACTTGTATAACTATGCATGTGACAAATAAAGAACCTTGAACCTACTTACAAGCCATCAGGATACTCACCTGCTGAAATATTGGACAGTTTATATTACACACTGTATATATCACTGACTCTGCAGCGGCTAAAGTATTTTTAGTAAACTGTATTTATTTATTTTACTCTTTTTTTTATATTTTTTATTTATATTTGTCTGATTTTTATCTAGATGTTACTGTAGTTTTGTGCGATTTAGTTGTTTTTTCTTTAACGTTGAGGATGCTGTGAGCCTAAGAATTTAATTGCCAAATAAAAACTGAAACGTCTTTAATGACTGTGTGTAGTGATGTTTTTAAAGATGTTACATAAACGATCTTCTCTTGTATCGTGACCCAAAATGGCCTGACTCAAGAAGTCACAGTGGATTCTGTGGAACAGAGAAATTGGGTGGGTCAGTTTGTTGTGTAATTCAGTTGAGTTCATTATTTGCACGTGTAATTCCAACTAAAAACACACCAGTGATTTCATAATCCTGCTGCTCCTGTCGTGTATATAAAGGCAGGAGTTTCTGTCAGAGATCAGCAGCGTTCAGCCGTCCAGAAGACTTCATCCAGCCACACAGCGTCTCTGCACACTCGTAAGTCTACAACCACTCGCTCTGCATCTGTTGTATTTCATTCTGCTGTAAAATGCCGCCCTGCAGCTGAGCCTCTTATTAACATTTTCTCATTGAAACAGTCATCCTCATGTTTTCCAGAATAGCATTTAATTCACAATACTTTTGTTTTACAGAGGTGCTGCAGGTATTATTAATGATGCCATTACAAATGTACTGCAGAATTATTGTTATTAGTTGGTCTTTTAAGCCCATTGCTGATTTCTCTCCATTTTTGTCTCTGTGTTTCCTTTAACTTTGTTAATGCAGGAACTCAAAATGGCCGGGTACATCACTGAACTCCAAGTGTCTTGGAATAAAGATGAGGAGGAGACTTTCAGTAAGCAAGGCTTCAGTAGAATTCCTGTTAATCTGAACCAAGGAGCTGGAGGAAACATCATCTACCTTTGGTACAAGAAAGGCATGGGCGCAGGAATCTCCACCATTCAATTTTCATTCAGCCAAGAGATGACCAATGGCCTGCTCGAAGCAGGATATACAAAGATCGATAAAAACCTCAATGAGGGAGCAGGTGGAGACGACATCTACCTGTGGTACTCCAAGTCTGACAAGAATGTTCCCATCAAGAACATTGATGTCACTGAAGATGCAGATGCTGAAGCTCAGAAGTTTAAAGACAGCTGGGAGAGACTGGCCTGTGACCTGAACCGCAATGCTGGAGGAAACCTGATCTACATGTGGGTGGAGAGGGAGACACAAACCTACATCTCTGAGATCAAGACCACTATTAACTGCAGTGGAGATGGGGATAACTTCAAGAATGGCTACATCCGAGTGGATGAAAACACCAACAGGGGTACAAATGAGAGAGGTAGTCCTACGCCTACCATCTTCCTCTGGTACCGCCTGAGCACCTACCCCAAGGATGCCTTCAGAGATCTGAAAGTCTCCACAAACCAGAGCGAATATGAAAAGTATCAAAATGCAGGCTATCAGCGGGTGAACCAGGACCTGAACGAGGGGACTCGAGGAAACAAGGTGAACCTGTGGTACAAGAAAGACGGCAGTAAAAACCCCATCAAGGCCGTCACTGTGATCACCAACATCCCAGGAGCTGTGGGGCCGTACCAGAGTGCCGGGGTCAACGTCATCGAGGGGAGCCTAAACGCGGGCGGCAACGGTGTTCCCATTTATGTGTGTTTTAATCAGTGAGGGTAACTATGGTAACAGAGCTGAGCATGCTCACTGAGCAGAAAGATGTTTCTGTTAAAATGGTTTGATGATGGGTTTTCTTTCCTTTCTGTAATGATCTTCAATCACTGTGATCTCAGAGCTTTGACTCCACCAGCGATCATTGATCCAATCAATCTGTTTGATTAGCTCTGTATCACTTTATTCTGATGATTGTCTCTGTTTCAATAAAGCCTCTTTAGCATCTGAAATCTCTCTGTGTCGTGTGTCAAAGCTTCATGTGACGCTTGTTAACAGAATAAAGTGAGCTGAGCAGGATCAATACATGACTTCATTTAGCAGAAACCTGAGCTCACTGTGTGGACACTTTAATAACATCAGTAGGATCTGTGGTAGTAGTAGTATTAGCAGTAGTATTAATGGGTTTGTTGCAAAGCAGAAATCTCAGTAAATCCTGTTGTACGGACAAAGTGAGATCCAGATTATTCATCAGCTTTGATACGTGTTATTATTTCTGCACACTTTGTGCTGCAGTATCCAGCTGGGTGACACTGAGCTCTTCCAGCCTGCGGGGCAAACACCTCACATAATAAAAGCATTTCACGTGCTTAGAAAGATGACTGTACCTTCCTTTGAACAGTGGGGGTGTAACTGGGCACAGATGTTTGATGAACCCTCACCTGATGTGACGGTCAGACTTCTTCCTTTCTTCCAGAATCAGACATGAGTGGGTTTGTAACTCTAAACAGGACTGCTGGGATCTACCCACGATGTCATTCAGTCATCATAAAAATATTCAAACGTGCAGAGAATCAAATTCTGCTCAGGTTTTCATTTGTCATCTGCTGGATCTGCAGAGCCACACAACTGCTGTAAACACCTCCGATTTGAACACTTTTCCACAACAAAGATGCTGCTACAGCCGACACACCACAGTCTTCCTGTACACAATCGAGCTAAACATAGCATCAGAGCGCTCATTAAAATCAGCAGCTGATAAATTGTCTTCCAGTTTGATCCAAATTCAACATTTAAGATGCTCATTTGTTCTAATGTGTAGGAAACATTCAGCTCCAGGTAGCAGCAGGTCACACATGTGCGAACCTTTTTACTTTGAATCGTGTTCAGAGTAAAATATTCCAAATAGCCTGATTAAAGGAAGAAACTGGTTTTTAAATGATAATAAGTTAAACTGGAACACTTCCCAGGAGCTTGTACATATTCATGTCGTCTGTGCTGTGAGTCAGTGTCACGTAAAGGAAATGAAACTGACCAGAATGAACAGCGATGAAGAAGAAAGCAGGAGAGACCAAAGAGAAGATCGACCCATGATGGACAAAGAGTGACTCAGCGTTCAAACCCTGAAACAAATCAAGCTCCAAAGAGTTCAAGAGGAATCAGAGTTTCAGAGTCCGACTGAATCTAAAAGGATTCAGGAGGTGAGGTGGGAGAAAGGTGAGCAGAACGCAGGGATGCTGGTTAAACATGATCATTCAGGCACCGTTAGTGAGGAAGAGGAGCAGAAAGTACAATGAGACTGGACAGATTTACTACAGCTGGCAGATACAGGGGATTCATGGAGTCCAGCACACTGTGGAGGGAAAGGAAAGGAAATAAGGAAGGAAAGGAAGCCTTAAAAAGTACGCTGGCTGACTGTCTGTCCAACCAATCAGAGAGCTCCTTACATCGCTCCATGGCTAATTTGCTCATTGACCTGAGTGAAGTTTCCCCTCCCCACCTTCTTCCAATCCAACAAAATCGGTGTGTCAAATGTTTGTGCTGCTATCATTTTAAAGATATTAATAAAAGCTTTTAGAGCTCACCCAACCTGCCCCTTCTTTACTGTGTAAAGGTTGTGAAACAGAAACTGTCGAGCCTCTCAAGATTAATACAGTAACTCCAACAATAATAGCTCATTCATAACAAACCAGCACAGAACAGCTGCTGGATTTCATTAATATGTGTGTGTGTGGGGATTTCAGAGTGGAATCGCCATTTTACATGTCGGAAATAAATCTTTGATTTTTGAATCCATTTACTTATTTCTCTTTTTAAATCGTATTTTAAAAAATATTTTGAAAATGTGTTTTTTAATTTGCAATTCAAAACTGGTTTTTGAATCGAGGGTTTTATTGAGAGTTTCATTCTTTTTTTGTGAAATTCGTTTTTTGATTTGAATTATTTATTGATGGATTAATATTTCATTTTGAAATACTGATTATAAATAGTGTTTTTATTTTAAATAAAATTATTGAAGAATAAATTACTGTCCAATACTGGTATTGGACACGTGATGTTTTCTAATCGAAATAAACTGAACATTATGTTTTTAAAGAATAAATATTTAAAAAAATGATGCAGATGCAGCAAATACACAAAACACTCAAATGCAAATTTGGACAATTCTGTCATTGTTCTGGCTGTAATGTATGGAGGGCTGGGAGTGCCAAAATTCAGTTTTTAAAAATACACCACAAAATAATTAAATTTCATTAATTAAAATGAAAATTATTTATAAACTATGTAAATAAGTAAATATAATTCATTTCATTTTAAAAATTTAATAAATTATTTACTATTTTAATTTCAAGTAATGACACGTAATAAATGGTAAATGTATTTATATAGCGCTTTACTAGTCCCTAAGGACCCCAAAGCACTTTACACTACATCCACGCATCCACACACTGGTGATGGCAGCTACATTGTAGCCACAGCCACCCTGGGGCGCACTGACAGAGGCGAGGCTGCCGGACACTGGCGCCACCGGGCCCTCTGACCACCACCAGCAGGCAGCGGGTGAAGTGTCTTGCCCAAGGACACAACGACCGAGACTGTCCGAGCCGGGGCTCGAACCGGCAACCTTCCAATTACAAGGCGAACTCCCAACTCTTGAGCCACGATCGCCCCGTGGCTCAATAATAAATTATTTAGTGATGTACTTGATCATTCTGACACTCCTGTCTGTCAGGTCTGAGGTAATGAGCAGACTCAAACAGACTTTATTTACAGTGACAGTTACTGTGGTTCCCGTGGCGATTTCTCCCAAATCCCACACAGTGCTCATGTCCGTGGTGGGAACTGTACAACAGCTACTCCCAATCTGTACAGTGGTTCCGCTTCCATAACTCCGGTCCCGATTCCTGATGGAGAAAGTCAACAAGGATATCCAAACACACACAAAGTTTTCAATAGCTATCCACGTCTGTACTGACGAGCACACTCGACGATCCAGTGTCGACTGAAGCTCAGCCACGCCGCTAAGTAGGAGAGGGCTGGTGAGCAGCAGGTGAGGCTGACTTCAGCACGGGAACACTTCCCGGTCAGATGACGCTCGAAACCGGACTTCCGGAAACAAACACACATGTCAACACACACACAGGGAAATAGGGGACCGGGAGAGGAGCCGAAACAAAAAACAACACACGGACACAATGGGCAAGTTGAGCAGCGAGGACTGCCAGATCATGACGCTGTCCTTCCATTACAGCGTGAAGGATTACCAAATCCAGATTACTGGTACTCTAACTGGGCTGCTGGGAGGGACAAAATTACACAGAATAAAAATCTTTTACTGATTAATTTAAATCTGATATTATCAGAAATATTGTGGAATATTTCATTAGTAATAAATTCATTTTTTTATTCACAAATAAGAAAGTTATTCCTGCTGCTGTCAGCTATCAAAGCAGGTCTGACCCAAACCCCAAAACACGAACATGTCTTTGTCTACCCAGATAGCAAGACGACATTGAATTGATGTTGATTTTTCATCCGATCCGTCGTTATGGTCAGGGTTGAAATGCCACTGTTGTAACAACATTGAAATACTGTGGTAAACCGACGGTCTTACTATAGGGACGTTGTAATGATGTTGATTTACTGTTGTTTTTTTGTCATTGATATGTGATCTATTTGTAGTCGACCAGGTGACAACAACAACGTCGAGAAAACATCTATTTATAGTTGACCATCATTCGGCGCTGGCCACCATCAAAAAGCCATCGATCTGTAGTTGAGCGTTAAATTGCATTGCAACTGAGCACGTATAAAGTACCGGAAAAAGTAGATTTATTGTTCTTTTGTTATCAATGATTTCTGGTCTAGTGCACCAGCTTTAAAAAATCGTGTCGACATGCAATTTATGTATAGTTGACCGGGAAATTAAAGCAGCGATCACTTGGACTATTCTGCAGCACCCCTCTCAGTGGTACATCCCTCCAGGTAACCATTGTCTTGTACAGTAGAGCGGGACTTTAGATTTACTCTCAGCGGAATTGACCGGAGAAGGCATCAGTTCATGCACTGCACTGGCCTGCACCACGATTAGTATAAGGTAAGAATGAATGACTTTTGTTCTATTCGTTATTTAACAAAGTCTATCAACAAAGAAAACATTTTCGTTTCATACTTTTCCGTTATATTTCCTTACAAAGCTAGCTTTAACGCTTCGAGGGTTCCTTTGTTCTTGCCGTCGCCTCGGCGCTTGACCCAGACTTTCGCTCTGTGGTTGCTTTTTAGCATAGTACTACAAAAAATTGTAAATCTGTGATATATGATTGATAAACGTAAAGGTAACTGTATAAATGTGTTCAATGACTTTGTTACTTTTAATGATTGGAGAGCACCCGCTTCGATTCGCACTCAATTCAAACTTTACGTTGCACGCTCACCTACCTTGCGTTTGCACCTTTTGTCCACACGTAAACTGCGTTTTCGTTAACAGAAAACAGATTTTTAAAGACGCCTGCCAGGGCGGATATTTTCGAAAACTCAGTTTTAGCATTTACGTGTGGACGAGGAAACACTATTAGTTTTTCGCCTCTCACTGCTTAAGCCATTAATCTTTCTAGAATTGTTCTTTGAAACAGATGCGACCTCACAAAAGATGTTAACTATGCTGTCAGACCTGACGAGAGCTGTTAACGAACTCCGTGAGGAGGTCAGAGCCATCCGCCATCTCTGCTGCAATGAATCGGTAGATGCTGGGGTACTGCCTCTGGATTTACCCTTGCACAACA